ATATTGAAATTAATAAGTCAAAAAAGTAATATAAACAATACGTAAATATTTATATTAAATATAATATAATATATAATTTATAAAATATAATAATATATAGGTATACTGGACGCTCCCCTCATGATATGTAGGGAAGCTTGGGGCTTGTTCTAACAGTTTTTTTTTAATTAATATATCTTGAGATCCACTAATTATAATTCTATGAAATAAAGATGGATGGTTGCTGCAACTATTCCTCTACCGAACCAAGTAAAAATAATTCCACAACAGTTGTTCATTATTTCAAAATTAATTCATTTCTGGAAAAAGTGCGGTGCTAAATCCAATTTAATTTTTATATTCTTAATTTACAAATATAAAAATGAAATTGGATTTAATAAAATAGTTGTTGAAGAAAGTAGACGGTGATAATATAATTTGTACCTAATATAAATAATTTCAATTCCTTATTAATATATCGTAAAATCTGAGCTGGCAATAAAACGCACTCAAATTCAATAAGCAAATTCAATCACAAAGCACTTTGCCATCCATTGATGTTGCACCTGATCCCTTCCGCAAATGCGTCAAGCAATTTACTTAAATCAAATTTGATAGCAACCCATAAAAGATACTTGCTTTGAAACTATACTCAATTCGGTGGAATGGCTTTATGACTCTTTTTCACTTGCTTTTCTCACATTGTTATATAAGGTTTCTTATATACCTACTTTTCGGGTTCGTATTTGATATATTGAAATATTGAAACTGCCTAGCTAATTATATTGAAAAAAAAATGCAGGTTACTAAATTGCATTTTGTTACTTTCAAAATATTATATTTTTTTTGTAAGTTCAATTCTATCTATTCAATCAATTTTCAGTGATGTAAAATTTTGTTCACATAAAAATTAATGTCATTTTTTTTAAAATTTCAACCTTTTTTTATCATAATATCGCTTAAAGTATTTTATTTATTGATGATATTGTGTGTATTTGTATTTCTAATGTATTTCTAAAAAGATAATTTTTTTGTTATGAATTAAGAAAAGTTATACTACGAGAAACATTATACCATAAAATTTTAAATTTAAAAGTAGTCATACTAATTAAATTATTAAGTTGCAACAATGTATGAATTCAATATGTTGAATGGAAATTGTACTTCCAATATTGTTCGCAGTTGTGTTAAATAATATTGAAAGAAACAATAGATGCAAATGGCATTTTGTTTTGGGAAAAGTTTCAACAGCTTTCAGATATGTAAAAACAATAAGCAATTGTAATTAGCAACTTTTCAAATTGGAGTGGTAAAATTTTAATATTTTGACTAGACCTAATATTTGTAGCCTATGGCCTACGGCCCATAATAATAGCCTAGGTACGAATGCCTACGGCTCATAATATTTAATATGTTCTTGAAGACCAATATCTCTATACCACATTATTTTTTTTATCAAAATCGTAAAAAAAAATCAACAATTCTTACGAAGAAACGGACCGGCCGATCTTAACCAAAAACTAATTGCACCATTTTTAACTGATATATTTTAGCAGTTTTTCAAGTTTCAGTTCAGTATTTTTGGGGACAAATTTTGCACATTTCTGTTCATTATAAAAAAAGGCATAACCGATCGTCGCGCAAAAATAATCAAAGCGAGCCCTTACGAGTTACACGAATTGTTTTTATAATTTGAAATCTTTTCAGCTCTTTTTAAGAAACGTCTAGGACAGGTCAACACAAATATTTTTTTTCTATTTCGGTGTTGACATATAAAATAAATTTCTGGTGCGAGTATAAATTTCTTCTTTAGGAAATAATAAGGAAAAACTATTTTTTTATTTCTTAAAAATAACAATTCAGATAAAATGAAATCTTATAAGCTCTTGTTGTTATATGTAAAGAAAGAAAAAAAAAAAATAAAAAAGAAGAAGAAATAATAACTTAGAATTCTCTCCATGGAAAAAGTCTAGTGTTAAAAAATACCATATAAAGTAGATAATTTTTTGTAAATTATGTTAAAACTCACTATGAAAGTACACCTATCCCCCGTTTACACGTTTTCGATACTGCATGGTTTTGAAAATATTGTTTTAACGAATTTATTATATTGCATTAACATAAATAAAAACATTATTAAACTTATAATTTCTTGCAAAACATTTTCATTGTTTTACTATCAAAATACAACACTACAAATGTATGTTACAGTTAAGAATTCTTAGTAGTCTATGTCTATGAAGAAAATAATATAGAAGATGGGAACTCCCCGTTTTATGATCAAAACTAAATTTTATGTGTGTATAAGCTAGTTTGTTTAAAATACCAAAACAAAAAGTTTAACAATTATTCATTTATAATTTGTTTTTAATTAGTGTATGTATAACTTAATACGAAAAAGTATACGAAGATATGATAAAATTTTTTTTATATTTGTTTCATTATTGAAACAAAATATTTTTATAATTTATTAAATGTATTTGATATTAAATAAATTAATTTTTTTTTTCAGTATTCATTTCAGTTTTCATCATGTTAAAACTGACAAAAAAGCTTTTTATAGTGATTTTCGCTTAGCACTTTCTTTCCATATAAGAGTCAATTTTTCAAGTCGTATTTTTTATGAAAACTATTCTTTCGTGTAAAGCGGAGGATAGATGTATGTAGTTTAAAATTTTTTTATATATATTATTTTTTAACAGCAATCAGAACCTTACGTCCTTTGAGCTGTTGGGCTGAAACTTCTTACTACGTATTTTTTTTAGATGGTAACCAATGGTTGATCCATCCATATTTTGATGATTTTGTTATTAGAATTAATTTAATAGGGCTGACACAATGCCGGGCAAGGGCTATTTTCACTTGGAAACATATTGCTATCTATATTTTCAAGTGAAAATCGTTGTCAATGCTGCCTGACAACAGGCTGCTCGAAGTGGGTATCGAACCCGGGACCTCTGAAACAAGTCCCGTCGATCTTAACCGCTTACCTACTGGCGAGCCCGTAGTTTAAAATATATGTGTGTTTATTATTTACTAGTAAAATGAGTGTTTAGTATACTATTGTGATTTAAGCAGTTTGTATCGAGATATGTTAGTCATTGTATAGTTATACCGTCGGCTTTGCATTAACGGACATAGACACCCTACATATTATATTTACAGTACACGTGATATACCAAACACGTAAGCAAGTTTCGCAAAAAGCCCCGGGGTCACATTCATTCATATCACCCTAACACAATGCACCTTGTAACCTGTCGCTGGAATGCATTAGGGCCCGAGACATCATAAAATGCATTGTTTCACATTCTGACGACACACTGCTTATGGAATATATGATACTTCATATATTTTATATACGGGTGTTCCAGAACTCAACGTCAAGCCGAAACTTGGTGATAGATAGATCATAACTGTCATGAAAAATATTCGAAAAAAATATCAGAGTTAAATGCTTTGGTGAAAATGTGACAATTTTAAAGTTATTGTGGTTCATTTTTATTAATTTTGTTTATTTAAGCTTTTGATCAGTAATTGTAAATAACATTTCTAGGACCACAGTCCAAAATAATAACACAATTGCCCCAAGTTTTTAAGAATTAAGACTTTTTATTGAACAATTAATTTCAAATGTGTCGAGCTTACACTTGGTAGCGTGTTCGATTCACACGACAAGAATCTTTGAATCGAATCCTGTCATTTACTTAGAATTTATGAAAAAAATGTGTAGTTAATTTAAAATTAAATAAAAATTGTATTTGTTAAGTAGAAATTAAATACGAATTAAGAAAAATAGGAATTACAGAATTTGAAAAGCTGAATTGTATTAGGAATAAGAAGAAAAAATATCAGAATTTGCTGAGATTAAAAAGAAGAATGAAAAAAAAAATGGAATGAAGATAAAAGTTGAATAAAATTAGAAATTTGATAGAAAACAGCAAAAATTGAAGAAATTAAGAAGAAGAAAAATATAGAATAGAATAAATATATAGATTGAATATGATATAAAAATTGGTATAGAATGTAAATAAATAAAAATGTTGTAGGTAGCTAAATGCCCACAGTAAGCGAGGCCAAATAAAAATTAGAAAAAAAAAATAAAAATAAAATCAAATTTACAAGTAAGTGAACTTTGATAGACTCTCCTTTAAAAAAACTGCACTAAAGTGCATTGGCATCAGGATCGTATTATAATATAATAAAATCTTGATGGTTTCATAATAAAAAGTCGAGTAAAATGACAAAAATATTTTACTATTTTACAATCCAGATTAAATGCGCCAACTTTTGATAAAACTTACCAATACACTAAGAGGGTATATCAAAATTGACCAATTTTGAAAATTTTAAATTCATAGTTCAACAAAAAGTTATAATTCTTGAAATTTTTGGGACAATTGTATCATTATTTTTAACTGCGGGGCTTGAAATCTTGTTTACAAATACAGATCCAAAGCTTAAAAATGAAGAAAATTAATAAAAAAAAATCACAATAATCGAAAATGGTTACATTATTACTAAAGCTCTAGGTTGCACTTAAAGCTCATATTTTTCAAACTACGAGAGTATGTTTTATTTCTTTTGTTTGTTGTTTTGATGAAGTTAACACTAGGTATTATCGTAGTACACATTTTCATACCATGGAGTTTTAGACTTATTTGACATAGTATTATAATATCAAACAGCGAGTATTTTAGTGTTATTATTTTGTTACAGGCTATTTCCTTAGTTTTAAGTAATTGTAACTATTTTCCACTAATTGAACTATGATGTTAGCTGTTTCGGTTCCATATAATTTCAGTATGGTAACAATGTATCAAATGGTTTGGCATGATGTTTGGATTATTCTTATTTTGTCCATCTATCTGTCATGGCCGTCATTTTAAAACTATTTGTTTTTATAAAATACAAAGTTTTAAAATGAACTTTTGCAATATACACCACAAAAATCTGTTGAAAAACAATCATTTATTACTGTTAGAATAATTAATATTGAATACATTCTTTTTTTTTTGCAGAATTGGCTTAACACCACAGAGTAATGTATGGATCGGTGCCTGGTGGATTGGCTTTATCTTTGGGGCCATAATATGTTTTCTTCTGGCATTGCCTATAATAGCTTATCCTTCATCACTTCCAGGTAAAAAATTATATAATGATAAATATTAAATTATACACATATTGTTTATGTTTATTAATTTTAAAAAAGCATATTATATGAATATGTCATATTATATACACCAATACCTGGCTTACAAGTGACCTGACATATGATGTTTCGATATACGAGCCACCAAAGAAGGGGTTTGTTTGCTTAGAAATACGAGGAAAATCTGAGATACGATCTTTCAGCGAGTAAGAGTTTTGTCAAAAAATATTAACAACAAAATGAAAATACGAAACATTTTGTCAACAATAACAATGATTTTCTTACCATAGAAATATTTTGGCTGTTTTATGATAGTTTTTTGCTTTTTGTACATTGACAAAGTATTATTTAATTTTGTAGCTATGAGTCTAAAGAAAAGATCCATGTATCTTGAATTAAAGCGTAAAATTAGAAAAAAATATTAGGATGATGTAAGAGAATAACACATCATAGATATATGCTATGTTTAAACAGAAGGTGTTAATAAATAGTATAACTCTAGCTGAGGGCCTTACAATAATTTATAAACAGCTTTCTGAGAAAAAGTTCTGAAAATCATTCCGAAAAAAATTCAGCAGTTGAACTAATTAGTTTTTCAACGAAACATGTCTAACTCATTTCCGCAATATCATAAATGGGCAAGAAAAACAATAATTAATTTAATAAACAGTAAATTTATTTTCAATATCGAAAAAACTTAAAAACCACAGTGCTAGAACAAGTTAATTGTAATTCCATATATTTATATTGTAAAAATTGCTTTGAGATACGAGCAATTCCACATACGAGCGTGGTTCAGGAACAAATTAAACTCCTATATCGGGGTACCCATGCAACCAATATATGACATGCATCTAGATTAATCAGTATTATTGATGTATTTATAATATTCAAATGTAATTAAAAAACTGTTTATACTTCATAACAACAATTTCAGAAAATAAATATTAGGTTGTGAAATATCTCCCAGGCACAAATTACAACTAAAAAATTTCAATTTTTAGAGAGCCGTTATATACGAACACTACAGATATAACTTCATATAATTATATTAATTATTTATAAATGATAAAAAATATTTTTAGTGGAACGTATGTATGTAGCGATCGAATGAAAATTAATACAAATTAAATTTATTATTGTAGTTTTTGTTATTATAAGTCAAATGTAAAATTGGAGTTATGATCAAAGTATTGATTACAATAAGTTTTCTAATATGTTCATTATTTATTATTATTGTAATATTTTAATTTGCAAACGTTACAAATGATATTAGGATCGGAAGAGCTGCGCAACGCCCGAGTGTCAGAGGCCCACGCGCGTACTGGCGATTCGAAGGAAGGATTCGGACGGATACGCGAGCTTCCGAGAGCTTTAATGGAGCTTGTGCGCAATCCAGCTTTTTCATTCCTCAACTTGGCTGGCGCATCGGAGGGACTGTTAATTGCTGGTTTTGCTGCATTTTTGCCCAAATTAATTGAATTTCAATTCAGCGTTACACCGACACGAGCTGCGTTATTGATGGGTATGTTATTTATAAATATTTTTAATTTAATAAATGCAAATTGCTGAAACTTTCCGTACCAAAAATTATTATTTTTTTAAAAACGATCAACATTTTTGAAAAAATTTTACTTCGAAAAAATTAGATTTTTGAGAAACTATAATTTTTTGTCAAAAACTTACTTTTTTTTTAAAAAAAAAAGACTTTTTGAAGAAAAATTTATTTTGTTATATTTTGGAAATTCTGAACTTTTTTTACTAGATTTCCGAAACCGCTAAACCTGCTTTCATGAAAACTTGATCAGTTCTTTATCTTATTAATACAAGTGAAATGTTTTTTAAATTATTCAAATCGGACGCTCCGTTCTCTTAAAAACTGAGTTACCGTTTTCGGCACATTTTGCCCCATATCTGCGGAACGGCTAGACCTGCCTTCGCCAAAAACTAATCAGCACGTCTCCTTATCCATACGGATCAAATGTTTTTTTAATTATTCAAATGGCTTTATCCGTGTTCCTGAAATCGTCTACGAAAATTTGTATCCGCACACATACATACATCCATTTTTTTTAAGGTATGCCAAAATGTTCAGAAGGTTTTGAAACGTAAAGATATATGAAAAAAATTATTTTAGATTTTTTTGCTATTACTATAACCTGCCCTACGGAAAGTTAAAAATGTTGTAAAAAGTACTTAGAATGATAATGCCCCTCAAATTTAATTCTTAAATATTCAATATAAGCATTCAATATGACTATCACTGGGTATCATTCTAATATATTATCTTACAAATGAGTCAACAAAATTACTGAATGCTTTTTTATGCAGTTTATATGGGGCACCAAATTTTCATGAAAATAATATCAGTAAAACAGTAATATTGTCTTTATATATGAATCTCTATCTCTATTTATCAGAAAATTGAAATGCAAACGGTAGGTTTACATTGATCCTAAAATCACTTACCCTAAATCTAAAAGTTATGAAATTTATCGATTACTCTTTCTAACTTTTATTTAAAAAAGTAACAAAAATACTAGCAACAATAGTATTTTAGCATAAAATATTGTTAATATAAAAAAGTTTACTCGTCATATTGCTGATATTGACATGACAGCTTTTCTGCGAAGGCATGTTGCATACAAGGAACAAAGAAAGATAATTCTTAAGAAACAAATTATAACTAGATGTAAAAGGCATTTAGCCTTAAGACAAGTTTCAATTTTGACGATAAAATTTAAAAATTTTGACACGGCCTATTTTTACAAACTTTGATTAATTTTAATGATCATACCTTTTTTATATGATTATATGAGTTTAGGATTTCCGTTAAGACCATGAACTTATTTTGCTAAAAACAAATTTCTCTTTTCTGCTAATTTTAAAGAAACGGTTTGGCCGATAACTAATTGCAAAATTTAATCAGCATAAGTGCTTATCGAGTTTTATCAAATTTTTAATTTGAATACCACACCCCAAAACACACTCATTACATTTTAGTGCTTGATGTGTATTATTATAATGCACTAATTCGTTTCGTAATTTGTTAATTTTAAATTTTTCATATTTCATAATTTCAGGATTAATAACAGTTCCAGCAGGCGGAGGTGGTACTTTTCTGGGCGGATATTTGGTCAAACGATTTTCTTTATCTTGTAGTGGAATTATCAAACTCTGTGTGGTCGCAACTGCTGCAGGAATATTGTTTACCTTCTGTTTCTTACTGAATTGCCCAAATCAACCGTTTGCTGGTGTTACAGTACCGTATTCATCTTCCTTAACAAGCGATTCTTTGAACATCAGGTAAATTTCAAGAGTAAATAGATATTTATCACAGTGAAAAATTTCACTTAAAAATAGCAATAATTGAAGTTAAAGCATTACTGAACTATAAGTGTGGTATAGTGCATGGTTGATGAAATACTGCGATGTTAATTGAAATATTGTAGATATAGCGCTCTTACAAAATATGCATTGTTTTTCCCCAAAAACATCGATGAAATATCAAATTTTGGTTTACGTACAAATACAAAAATATACATAGTTTTTTTCAATTTTGGTGTCCAAGAATTCAGAATGACTTAAAATATACTTATAGTTCAGTCATTTGAGCTTAAATCAGGTAAGAATCTCGGAATTCGATATACCCAGCTGTAAGCCTGTAAATACTTGTATATTGACACCCTAAAGTTATCTCAAAACCTACATATGGTAGGGTGTCTATACCGTATGTAGGTTTTGAGACAATTTTAGGGTGTCAATATACAAGTATTTACAGACTTACAGCTGGGTATCTCGAATTCCAAGGTAAACTTACTATAATGACTGAAAAAGATAAAATTAGAAAATCGGATTTCCTTCTTCTTCCTCAAGTTGATTAGATTTGACAAACTTTCATAGCATTGGCTACAACAAGCTGATCTGTTTCCTATCACATGTTTTAGGTTCATATACAATTCAATAGCTACGGTTTTCCAAGTTTGTATGCATGACTGACTTTCATTTCTTTGAACAACAAAACGTCTGACAAAATAATTATTTTTATAATTTTTATAATTATGTATCATTTGTATGTTTACAGTTCACTGCCCTTGTCCCTGTCGGATTCATGTAATTCAGGCTGCGATTGTTCCAGAGCCGATTTTGACCCGATATGTGGATTCGATCAAGTGATGTATTACTCGCCTTGTCATGCCGGCTGCACCCAAGAAGATTCCCATGGTAACATCAAGGTAATACTTCTGATATATATATATATATATATATATATATATATATATATATACACGGTCAACCCTCCGTTAACGCGATATTCTGGGAACGCGGATTCCAATTATATATATATTATAGAGATAAAATTGCGGCAGCCTCTGATAACACGGACCTCATACAAAGGCTGTTGTTCAACAGCTCATAAGTTCGTTCTGTGTCTCCTATGAATGCATTTTTTTAATATTGTTTGAACAACAATTAGAACCTCCAGAGTCCTGTCCTATGAGCCGTTCTGCTAATATTACGTCGGTTTTTATTACAGATGGCAACCCAAAACGTTGTCTTTGTTATAAATTTTATTATTACAATTTCTGTAATAGGGCGAATATTTCTATCAGTGCAGCAATGCCGGATGATAGCTATTTTCACTTGTCTCTCGATAAATGACTCTATTAATCAAGATTCTAGATATTGCAAGAGATATTGCTTTAATATAAGTTTTATTATCGACTGTTTCATTTACCACTATTTGTTATTAAAAGGTTAAACAACAAATAATCTTCAAAGACAATAATATGAATTTCAATATATTTTTGTAATTTTTATCATCTTGTAAGAACATAAATTGATGGCGATGAATTTTAAATTGGAAAATTTCCTCAAAATATGTTCACATATTTGAGACGAGGCAGAATTACTTATATATCTTACAATCATAACAAAACTTGAGTCAACCAAATTTGCAAGGAGGTGTTTGTATTGTAACATCCTAAAATTTAAATTATTTTTAACAAATAATATCAATTTTAATCCAACAAACGTATTAAAATGTATAGTTTGCTCTTAAAATATTTGTTGTTTGTGAAATGTAATTGTAAGCTAATTTTTCCCAATTCCCAACATTTCACGATAAAAAGAACTTCATACTCGGTGAATAACATAAAATATCAGTGCACACTACTAGCCTATTTTCGATTATTTTTTATTAAAGGTACTAATAAAATTAATTAAAGATATTACTACAAAAAATTAAAATTATAAAGAAATCGAAGGTATCAGATTGGAGCGAATTTTTTTAACATGATTGTAAATATTCAATTCGTCCGAATAAAAACTATGGGTAATTTGAGATATCCTTTCTATTATATATTTACATGTTTAAAAGTTTTATATTTACTAGAATATTGTATACACATACATAATTCTAATTGCCTAGTTGTTATTTGTTAATAATAATTTGTTTATTATCATAACTTAATTAAATATGAATTTTTGATATATTAATACACTATTAATCCAAGAACTGTATTTTGGAATAAAATTAGAATTAAATAAGTTTTAACAATCTAAAACTAATTCATTTTTATTGTACAGGTATATTCCCAATGCCGTTGCATAAATTCAGAAAATAGAAAGGTATGGAAGCAAGACGATGAATCGAAAGAATATGATGCCGCCAATGTAACTTGTGATTCAACTTGCCCCCATTTACCACTATTTGTGGGCCTGATGGTCTTTGTAATGTTTTTCACATTTTTGTCTACAATGCCAGCCTTGTCAGCAACTTTGCGGTACGTATAATTTAATTAAATTATTATAATATAGATTTTATATTACATCTATATTAATTAAGGATATAGGATGTAACAATAAAAAAAATTTCTATTTTGACGATTGTATTCTTTCGTGGATTAGTGGTTAGAATTGTGGACTTTGCGTTGAAAATTTCAGGTTCGATACCCTCCTCGGACAGCTTGATATAAAGCAGTAGTGACTTCGAATTACACTTGGAAATATAGATAGCAATATGATGCCAAGAGAAAATGGCCTTTAGGGGCATTGCTGCAATATAAGAAAGGCGGCCGAAAGGTTGCCTTTTAAAAGCGTTCATGTATTCAAAATAGAATAGTTATCTGAGATGATAAAAACAATCTCAATCTTAATAGTAAAAAAATGCATTGGTACCCCACCTTGCGAGCTTAATTTGCATGTCAAATTGCTCGTATCTCAAAGCAATATTATCTAAGCAAAATCTTACTGTAATAATTTTATATATTTTTATAATTTAATATATAAATATTTTATAATTATTTTCAATTACTATTTCTAAAATATAGATGTGTGAGAGACGAACAAAGATCGTTTGCATTGGGAATTCAATGGATAGTAGTACGTCTGTTAGGAACCATACCAGCCCCAATGCTTTTTGGAGCACTCATCGATGAAAGTTGCATACTATGGCAAGGAGACTGCGACTCCGGTGGGGCTTGTCTTGTTTATGATAATAAAAATATGAGCAGGTATGAAAAACACGAACACAAGCATATACACACACAAACTAAGAAAATAAGATATTTTAATTAAAACACGTGTAGAATATATTCGCATCTTTTAAATATTTGGATGTGAATTAATAAATTATGTATTGAAGTAAGAGTTTAAGAGCAATAAATGGTTTTTAATAAATATTTCCATACTTATATACAGATTATGGCGATAACGACGAGCCTTATGCTTACTCGTCGCTCTTGCAAAGCGACTTTATATGGGCGTTCTTGTACCGGCAGCGCGCGTACTAGCTTAAGTTTTTCCAGCTTTTCACCGAAAGTTCCACTTGCATTTAAAAGAAATTTTTGAATAACAGAAGAAAAATGTACAAGCTTTCGAATGATGCTAATTTAAAAGTAGTCAAAAGAGCCGCACTGGTAGAATTGGTAGAACTAACAAATATTTTTTTCCCATTATTTGTTATGGAGAACATAGACAAGATCAGTACAAATAGAATGGCGTTAACAATTTTTCGATATCTCTCATACTTCCGACAGAAAGTGAGTTTGACAAAAGAGGACACTTTCACATGTTTTCACTGATATCTCGGCCAAATGATGAGCTACGGATTTGAAATTTGGTATTTCGAATTTTCTCGAAAATACCTATAAAATGGCATCAAAATCATTTAAATACCAGGGTGGGGCCAATTCTATATGGAAACACGCCCAGACCCAAAGGGAACACCGAAAAAAACGCAATGGGGTTTAGACATAAGTTTATATATAAAAAAAATGTTAACTGCGAATTACGAAACTGGACCGATAATTTCATTTTAATATATTTGTAACTAACCAACTCTGCTAAAATCCGAGACCTAAAAATAGTCTTCAAATATAATTTTAATACATTTTTCAATTTCAGGTATATGGTTGGAGCAGCATTCATAGGAAAAGCTTGCTCGTTGATATTTTTCTTTGCTGCTTGGTGGTTTTACATTCCACCAAAAGCAATAAAACCCCAAGCACAAAATGAACTGCCAATGAATGGAAACCTTAATCATGTCGCAGAAAGGGATAAATATTAAACATAGTGCAAAACAATAAATCTTAAATTGCAGACAATTGTTTAAGGCAACAAAAAGACATTTGCTATGTGTAATTGCGTGTATTATTTTATGAATAACTCTGTAAATCAAGAATTAAGCGATCACACGAAAAACGTGATATCAGAAAATAAGCAGTCTAAGGAAAAGAACATTTTTGTTCTGTATAATTATTTCGATGATTCTGATGATAATGTTAACCTGTAATTGTTATGATTGCTTTGATTAATTACATTATACAATAAATTATATTGTTTTCCAATTGGCATTTAAGTAATATACATGTCAATTGTAACAAAGTATGAAAACATGGATGGTGTTTCAGTCATTGGACTGAAACTTTCCTAAACTACACGTATAAAGTAAATTTCGCGAAATTTAATTAGGTTTATATAAAAAATATTTCTAATAGTTGCAGCCTCCCTTTGCATTTTTCTTTCTCAAAAATGCATTTTGTTTGCATTCTTACTATTTATTTTTATGTTTTACTTTACTCCACGGTTATGTTGAAAAAATTATATAATTAATAATTTGTGGAACCTAAATAAATGTTATTAATAATCAAAGAAAAAATGCCAAGATCAATTTAATTATTTATAATCCATACCCATAAGTGACTGATTGATGTTTGAATGTTTTATTAATAATGCGAAAGCGATAATTATTAGCTATAACAATTAGATATTATAACATTTTGGCAGTATTTGTCTAATTTAGCAACGTTTGATTTATGTGATTTAAGTGAAAGAAAAATATGATTGTATAATGTTATATCGTCAATTGCTGCATGATTATTTTAAAAGAAATAAGAATTTATAGATTTATATATGCGAGTTTTGTACAGTATTTATTAATAAATGTATAATCGTAATCAGTTGTTTTTTATGTGACTACATTCTTCTAGTCGTCTAATTTGCATTGGAACGCACAAACCACCATTGCATTCATACATGTTCTCGTTCAAATTTTTTTCAAATATTTTGAAATCTTTTTTGGTTTTCTTCTGATACTTATTGTAAACTAAAATCAAAATCTAGCTTTCTAACATTTTGGAACTACCAACTAACATTTTAAAAAACTGAACATTTTTTCGTTAATAGTTAAAATATAATTCCATGGATTAGGTTTGTATAGCAGAATATCAACCCTTTCCACTTGGATGCCGCCGCTCTGACGGCAAAATTTATATAAATCTCGCAATTCGCGAGAGGAAAGGGCTAAATTTTGCGACTCTAAGCTCTAATATATTTAAAAATTATAAATACATTTATGAAATACGTATGATTTTTTGTATAAGAATTTGAAAAATATTCGTATACGCAAAATAAAATTTTACAATTGAAAACACTAGATTTTTTTAATGTAAAAAAATCAATATATTTATAGGAATCAAAGAAAAGTAAAAACAGATAAAATCATCAAAAAAACCCAAAAATTTATTCTTACAATAAGTACTTTTTCGGAATCCAAATTTTGTTGACTACCATAATCTCAAAACAAGATCTTTTTACTTTCTTAATTAACTTCCCGTAGGATAAGTTATAGTAATCTCAAAAAAATCAAATATAAAATTTTTGCATATCTTCACGTTTCTAAGTCTTCTGAACATTTGGCATGCCTTAGAAAAAATAGATGTGATTGTGTATGTGGTGTGTTGTAAGTATGTGCGGATACAATTTTTCGTTCACGATTTCGGGCGCAGGCATCAACCGTTTTAAATGAAGAAGAATGATTGAAAAACAATCGATTACTATTGATGGGAAGACGTGCTGATTAGTTGTTGGCGAAAACAGGTCAAAGTCTAACCGTTTTTTTTAAAGATACGGGTCGAAAAGTGCAAAGAATGGTAATTTTGTTTTTGAGGCAACGGAGCGCTCATGCTTACTTATCTATGGAAGCGCTCGATTTGAATGATTTAAAAAAAAAATTTACTTGTATTGACGATTGAATAGTATATATTTATTATATTATATTAGTGACAGGTCCGGCGATTTCGGAGATACAGAGGCAAAAATAAAAAAAAATCGCGTTCAAAAATGTTCATTAGACATATGCACATCAAATTATCAGATATTTTATAAAGATTTTAAAAATGAGTACTACTTTTATTGCATTTTTTTGAGTTCCATTCCAAGATTTTTAATATTTTAAGGTTCTTATATGATTCAAATTAATTTAAAAATTTATAAAAGATTTTTTTTTCAAAATTTTCAAAAATGAACGAAGTTTTATACTTTCTTTATTCATTGTAAATTTACAATTCAGTTTAAAAATGTATATATTTTATATGCGTTGTTCTAATCGTAAGAAATATATCCCAAGATGGATTAATTTGGCATCTCTTGTTAACGTAAACATTCTTAAGTGTCAAGTGATAAGATCGCCGCTATATAATATACAAGCGATAAAATATATAGCATAGATAAATAAGCGTAAGTATTTATACTTATCTATTTGAAAATATTTAAAACGATTGTTATTAATTATTATTGATCAATAATTACTGCTTTTTTATTTGTTCCCCTCGAATATATAATAATTAATTCTGGTCCAGAAATTTCAAAAATAAAACTTTTACTTTGCTATTGGTTACTCTAAAATTTTCTACATCGTGTTGCTAACTTCACTAATCATCTCATAAACAAGTAAATGACAGCTAAACGTCATGAACAAATAAATTGAAATGTTATGCGTTACGCCTTAATAAATGGAAGAAATATAATTTATATAGATATGGCACAGATTGAAGCATGTCAACTTTGTTTATGCAACACTAAATTGCTGAGAGGACTTAACAAAGAAATCGAAAGCTTAATTAAAACCAAAATATTAGATTATCTATCTATTAACGTAAAGTTTTCGCTACAGACGTAACAAATCAAACAAGCAACTTATATGAGGATTTATTGTTTCAGATTCACTATAAAAATAATACCCCGATAGTAATTTGTGAGGACTGCCTAAATAATTTAAATCAATTTCATATATTTGCACAAACAGTTAGTCTCATTTTACATACTTCTTTGAACCTTCACTAATTTTTATATTATCAATTAATTGTGTAATTAAAAATTTATTTGTTTTAAATATTTATTATAGGTTTATTTAGCTCAGAGAAATTTTCAAAAAAAATCAAAATTGTTTAAATATGAAACAACAAATATTGTAAGTCAAATATCTTAAAATGTATTCTGTATGCATTGATTATTTTATTCTTATAATGTTAAATTCGTTTTTGAAGGAAGATAATCTACCACTATCGATGCAAAAGCAAAGAAATAATATGATATCCCAAATAGAATTTAATAATCCAAATGCAAAAACGCCAAATATATAAATAAAGATTCTGCCAAAGTTAAATCTGTGGATAATGAATGTAAGTAGTAAAGAAAACAAAACCACAAATGGTTTAAGGCATAATTTCATATATAATAATATTTAAATAGTTTCAAGTTTTTTTTTCAAATGTATTTTAATTCATCTGCTGATTTTATTGTTATGTATAAAGAGTCATCTACCGTTTGCTATTTTTTATACACAGAAAATATTGATTATAAAATGTTTTATATTCTAAATTCAAATGTTTGTTTGAACCTAGCAATTGGTATTTTATAACACCCTTATTATGTTATTTTGTTGCAAAACAATATTGATAGAATTTTTTTTTCAGTGAGCATAAAAACTGAATTTAATTAAGTGATACGGAACAGTATTATGAATCTGACGATGAGGATATGTTGACTGAATCAAATCAAATAAGTTTTGACAATAGCACATTTCCCAAAGAACTTATTAAGAATTGTAGATTAACTATCACTGGAAAAAAATGGACAATATGTTAGCAACATTCTTTGGTTAAAATGTAACATTTGTATCAATACAACATGTTTTACGTATGTTATGAAATAATTCGTATTTAATTTTCATTTTAATTTAGTTTACGAGAATAATAATTTTTAGGACTATTTCCAATTTGATAAAACATTATGAAGAAGTCCATAATACAAAAGGCTATGTTCTTTGTTGCGGTCAAAAAATTACAAGGCAGAAGGCAATGGCAATGCACATGGCAAGTCATATTCAACCAGAGGCTTTTACGTAAATATAATTTATAATTGAACATCAATTTTTTGTTGCTTCTATCATTTTGTTTTCCTAACATTAGTTGCCAGTTCAGATACAATATCTGCAACCACTGCAGAATACTACCAGTATCTGAAATTTTTCAATTCTTGAAATATTTTTTACCATCCACTTCATAATCAAAAATAATTAGTTAAAGCAATGTACACAAAGTATAAAATGACAAACTAAAATAAAATACTGAAAATTTCATCCCTGATAATTGAATGCAAAAAATACCAATGCATTGCCACCACTCTTTACAAAGTCCTACTTAATACAATAAGATTGAAACACTAGTTTTAATTAACATTGTATTTTTCAGTTGTACCATTTGCAATAAGATATTAACCTGCCCTAAAATATTGCAAAATCATATACAGAATCATTTACCAGAATCACAGCGTCCTTTATGTTGTCCAGAACCAACATGTTCAAGACGTTTCAGTTATTACAGTGCATTAACAGCTCATCAGGCATCACATTTAAATGAGGAGGAAAAGATAACGCATATTGTGAA